ATTTTAAATGATTGATTGTATTGTTTGCATAGTTCTGAGGTATGTGAATCAGAGTGTACAATGTCACCACGTTTCCATTTATTATTTACATTCTAAACAAAAAATATATATATAGACAAAATAAAGTGATGCCTTATATTGTTTAATATTGAGGAGATGGTGGACAAAAATTTGTAGTTCAGGTGGATAATTGTGATGGTGTTTAGTTCGATGAGAGCTGGTAGTATTAAAACAACCAGGTTAGAGAACTAAACACCACCACAATTGCTCAATATTATATATAACAATCAATAGCAACGTAAAACTACGTACTTAGGTATGTACATTAGTTCATGTTGCCATACCACAACATTAGCACAGAGATGTAATTGTCAATTCAAATCCCATAGAAGTAGAGATAGTAAAGGTATTAGCAGTAGTTGGAGAGGTTAGGACTAGAAGAATCTATTAAAATAGACTGAAAAAGATAAAGTGATAAGGAAAACACAAAGAATGAATACACCTGCGCCTGTAGACTCTTCAGGGCTACTGACAGTGCCAAGCCCCGATAAAGGAGGAGGGTTGATATGTGGGTTAGCGACCTCATCCCGCAGAAAAACTTACTTGCCAAAAAAACGTTAACAAGAAAAAAATAATTCAAACTATATAAACTCTACTCTTGGAGTTAGAAGGTCTTCATTTAGAAGAATTGTGACGTCTAATGACGAAAGCCGAGAGTTCCTTCGGAAGTCAACAGGCCGATGCCCCTTCTGACAACCAGAACCCCTACCACTGGGTGGGCAGCTGGGAAGTTATATCCGCACTCATACCCATATATATATATATATATATATATATATATAGTTTTATTAAATTTGTTTATTGTAAACATGTAACGACTTCATTATTCTACAGTTATTAGATATCAATGATACATTAAAACAAAACAAAACATCTACCAGAATTCAATGAATGATAAAGTCAATCAGTCTAACTGATCACAATAAGCTTAATGAATCAACTTTAGTGTAGTTCATTTTAAATAATTCAGTAGTAGCACAGATTGCATGGTAATAGTACTTTCTTTTAGACACATGTCACCGACAGTAGCTGCTACTTTGATGTGGTGGTCTCACTCGCCAATTGTGATGATCCAACTGAGCAAGACTGGCTGGATCATATGTTCCTGTAGGTTCTACCATACCAGGCAGGTCGATTGGAGAACGATCAGACTAAAAATAGCAACTCAAGGTCTGAGGGCGAAGTCGTATTGCTGACTGTAGAGGGGTGTGACAGCTGTAAAGTGTTTCCCTCGGACAACCAGCATCTTCAGCGATACTGCCTTCTCACAAGGAAAGAAGGGTTAGAAAAGGTCGACCCTAACAATGTCACACCTCACCTTACCTCACGGATTTCCGTTTCCGGCGGTAAGGACTTTTAAACAAGAGCGGAGCTAACACTTCCAAAACATCCCACAAAAAGGCCGTGTTTGACCGACCTCAAGCGGTTGCCCCTTGGGCCTTGCGATCATGCTCCCACGTCTCTATGACCAACACACACTCATGTTCCTCAAGAAACACCCTTCGATGATATGGACAGCCGGGAATTGACATCCGGCCCTCATACTCGTAACAACACACGAGACACATCGAAAATAATCTACACCTTGTGTAAATAATCAAATCAATGACAAAAGTTTAAATTTTTATCACAGACTCTAATGTAAACATGTTCACTGCGCATTCAATAGGATGTAACTTTTCAGTTTGACTGTGGAAAGACCATTTCAACTAATACACACTTAAAAGCTTGTTATTGATAAAAAATTTTTATCTCTCAAAAGAAAACACTCCATCCATAATCAATAATCATTTATAACGTACAATATAAGCTTTTTCTCTCTCTCGCATAAAACTTTCTCATAATTACTATCTCTTAAAGGTGAATTAATGAAGTTATTGACCAGATGACAACAAATCTGTTCATTTCAATTGGTCAGTTTTGTTTCAAGTTCAATATATATTTAAAAAATAACTATAATTATTAATGAATTGATTGTTAGAGATTGTGAATCTTTATTTTTTTTTCTTACAGTATAACAATTGAATAAATGAAACATGCCACTCAAATGAACATTGAACACACTTTCAATATTCAATAAAGTTTGATAAATAACCAAACTTGACATAACAATCAATCAGTCAAACAAAAAAAAGAAAGTGAAATTCAACTTACTAGTTTCTTTGTTTTATTTGTATTTTGACTAAATTGTACAGAAGATTTGATTGAATGAATCTGTTGCGCTGCGATTTCGTCTATTTCATGATGATCAATATTGGAGTTGTTCCAAATAGGCCACCATGGACAATTTGCTTTTTTTGATAGAAAAAAATAGACAAACAAATCAACAACAACAACAACAAGGTTAGTGTTTATTCACAAACAAAACAAAACAAAAGTACTCAGAACTGAAAATAAAAGCAAACTTTAATAGAATACAAAGATGATTAGGCAGGTAGGTGATTCATATATTGACATGTATAATAATTGTCATGTATGCGTTAAAGGGGACATTAGGCAAGTGTATTATTATGTGCGAGAAAGCATCAAATTACAGAACAAATTACAAACAGTAAAACAAGTTAATCAAAATTGAAAATTGAAATTGAATGTTTGCCAATTTTGAAAAAAAGAACGAAACAGTGACATTTTAGATGGACGGTTTCTTTTTTAGTTTAAAATTTGACGAACATGTTACCGTGATAGTTGTTCAGAATTATTTGATTCATAGTGGAAATTATACTTAAACAATGGTAAAATTACTGAACTGATGAATCGATCATTGTTAGACTACCTATAGAAAGCTGGAAGCACTTAAAGACGGCCATTTCGTCCTGGTGTGGGACTACTCATCAGCAGTGTGCATCCACGACTCCAGCTACTTGCAGGATTGATCAAAGTTAAAAATTACCATTATTGGATGCTGGCTTAGTGGTCCAGAGATTAGGTGCTCGTGCGCAAGATCAAAGAAAGATCCTGGGTTCGAATCCTGCGGCTGCAGGAGTCACGGATGCGCGCTACTGGCGAGCCCCATACCAGGACTCAACTGCCGTCCAATTGCTTCCAGGCTTCTAAGGGTGGTCTAACGAATTCATGATTTCAGTGATAAAAACAACTCTATGATGAAAAATGATAAAATTATCATTAACCATAATCAAATGTGTATACATGAAGTAAAAGGTTACGCAACTCTGTGAACTGATCAAAGTTAGACATTAACACCGTTAGATACCAGTCAGTGGTCCAGAGATTACACGTTCATGCGCAAGACCGAAGGTCCTGGGTTAGAAGTCGTGGATGCACACTGCTGATGAGTCCCACACCAAGACGAAACGGACGTCTTTCAGTGCTTCCAGGTTTCTAATGGTGTGGTCTAACTTTGATCGATTCATGATTTCAAATGTCTGTATGAAGCATGAACTTATTGATACATTAAAAATCCCTCATTTATCATGTAAAAATTTATGAACACTTGAAAAAATGTTATGAATGATGGAAGAAAGCCAATTTGAGATCTAACTGTTCCAATTCAGTTTTTAGCCATTCTATCACAAATTCCGTTGTAAGAAGAAGAAATTGTCAATTATATAACACCACTTCTGTTAGTCATTGGATAAAAGTGACTTTTTATTTAATTTATTTAGTTAGTAATGAAGAATTTGATTATCGTAGAATTGTTAATATTAAAGAAAGAATTTGATTGATAGTTTATTTCTAAAAAAAAATTCCACTAATTTGCTGTCGGTTGCAAGTATATTTCATTGAAGAGAAAAATGATATTTTTACAAAAAAAACGAAGAAAATATTGGTTGGAGTCATTAATAACAGATATTTTTTAAAGTTTACTTAAATTGTGTATACATATTATATTTATTGGAAAGAAATCAGTCAGTCAGTCAGTCATTCAGTTACAAAGTAAAACTTCGTACGTAAGTACATCATTTCAGGTTGCCATAACATATTAGCAGAGAGATGCGATTGTCAATTCAAATCCAATAACGATAGAAGTAGTAGAAGAATTGGCAGAAATCGGAGAGATAAGGGGTTAGGAGATATTAATCAAGAAGTACAATTCAGTGAGATAAATCTATAGAGAGAGAAAGATAAAGGTGATGAGGAATTCAGAAGGTTAGGACTTGAGAGAACACAAAGAATGGATGTACCTGCGCCATTATAAACGGTTTTAAGTCATTCAAGATCGCTAACCATCGATTACTATCATCTCGCTGACCCCAACCCAGGTAGTCGAAGTTTACCAACGTGACTTAATCCGCTTGTCAGTGACTTCATAGATTTGTTCTATGTTTTGGTCTGGCCGCCCCTACCTTTCTTCTGAGCTATTTCTACACCACAAAACATAGCTCGACGAGGTAGTCAGTGGCTGGACATTCGTAACACATGTTCAAACCACCTCCGCTGATGAAGCTTCAATGCTTCATTTACTGATCTGCCTTCCTTACCTAGTACTCGTTTCCTAACAACAATATTGTTTACTCGATCGTCCAAAGATAAATGAGCAATTCTTCGAAGACACCGATGATCGAATACTAATAACCTACGAATGTCCTCTACTCGCATCGGCCATGTTTCGCATCCATATGATCGGAAGAAAGGAGCGAACTACTGCACAGTACACTCATCCTTTGGTTAGCAGACGGATATCTCGCCTATATCATAAGTGACGCAAGTTGGCAAAAGCCAATCGAGCCTTCTGTATCCGTCATACACCAGGCCATCTGCACTGATGAGACCCTTGAGATAAGTGAGGCGGTCTACACGCTCAACTAATTCACTCCCTATCACTAGTTCAGGTGTCGATGCAACCCAATCCTGAAGCAACATTTTGCATTTCGACGGAGAGAATCGCATCCCGAACATGCTTGCACTGTTGCCTCGTGTGGTCAAAAGACTGTCTGAATAATAAAGACAACTACTGACAATATGTATAGTTCGCCTTTTCTACAATATTCGTTAGCATTTACTTCACAACACAGGCAGATATATAAATATACAACAAACTCTATATCATAACAAAAAAATATTCAAACACTTACTTGGTGCACCAACAAACACTTTACATATTGATTTTGGAGGTAGATATTCAGAAAAATTAATATGACCATTGAAATGTTGATTACATAGACCATAGATAAGTGGTAGAAGTGCAGGAAAACGCATTGTCCAATATAATGCCATACCTTCTTGATTATAACCACATATTGCACGAATATGTTCTGGTAATGACCAAATATGACTATGTTTATTGCGTATAGCACGTAGAAGGCATAACAGGGAAGTATCCTAAAACCATTTCAACAAACAACACAGTAAGAATAAATACGTTGTGTGATCTTGATCAAGTCATCAAATATGCTAAGAGAATTATTTATGTAAGTCTAACTCTATTGGTTAATTCCTACTGGTCAATATTATGGTCGTCCTAGCTATCGATGTCACGTACTTCAATGTTGTTTCCCATTGGTCGTCCTAACTGTCAATGTCACAGACTTCAATGCTGTTTCCTATTCGACCTAACTGTATAAATACGCATTTTCAGTAACGTTTTATGACCCGGACCCGGATCCCTAGTCCAGGATCCTGACTGTCTTCTGGACTTGGACCTCGTACTTTCTGGATGCTCACAGAATACATGTTCTACTTCGTATCAAGTCTTTTTCTTTTATTCACTGAGGGTTTTTCGACGCCTGTCGTGTCACCGGACCCTTGATCCTCGCCTCGTTCACCAACTAAGGTAAACTCGTAATAGTTCAAGCCTATCATAACAGAAAGACTTTACACACATGAACACACATTAACATATTCAAAAGAAAACTTACTTGATAACCTCGAGTACTTAATAAATCAGTAACTAGTTCCGGTTCTAATCTAGCAAACCAATGTTCATTAAATACCCAATTTGTATAACGAATAAGATCATTGAACATTTGTTGTTGATGATGATAATTATTATTATGATGATGAAAATGTTGCTGTTTAATTAATTGATGATGATCATTAGGAATGGTTGTTGCGATTTTATCATTGTCATTTGTATGATTATGAGTAGTATGATCAGTATCATCATTATTCTCTTCAGTAGGATCATTGACAACAGTATCAACTACTACTGAATGAATAGTATCAGTAGTAGTTTGCGATGAAACTTCAAATGATAAATCTTTAATATCCATAACATTTGATAATTCCTTGATAAAGATATAAAAAAAGGAAAGAGTATCAAGAAATAATCGAATACTGTTAGAATGAAATTGATAATTGTGAATGAGAGAATCTCATTTCAAAATGCTCATACTACTAAATATTTTACAGTTAGAATACTATGCTTAAAATAATTCTTAGTAGTAGCCAAAATATAAAACTCCGCCTGGAGCACTGCTACGGTCTTAATGCCGGTCCCGTACCGGAACTGGGGGTTAGCGACCAATTTTCGTAGAAAGCCAACTCGTTGAAGAAAATGCCAATTGGAAATTTATTCGCTGGTCGGTAGCCTATGCTCCGTTAGGAGTAACAGGCGTTAGTCAATTAATCAGTCAGTCAATTAAAAACGTAGAACTTTGTACGTACGAACATCAGTTTAGGTTGCCATACCATATTACCACAGAGACGCAATAGTCAGTCCAAATCCCGTAGTGGAACTATTAGCGGTAATCAAGAAGATTAAGGTTCGAAGATATTATTCAAAAAGTATAATTCAGTAAAATAAATTTAGAAAGAGAAAGATAGAGATGATGAGAAATTCAGATTAGAATTTGAGAGAACACATAGAGTGGATGCATCTGTGACATTGTAAACGATCGTTAGTAAATAAGTGCAAATATATAAAGAGCACATGACAATTAATAAATAGTAGTATACGTTTTTTTCACATCAATATAGAGATCTGCGAGCTAGATATTCAATGTGATTTGTACACAACTAACACAAGAGAATCACTTAATCCTGGTGAAATACAGTGCGGTCCAATTAGAAAAGATAAAAGCAAATTATTCGATCAAGCCGGAATCAATAATGGAAGGTAGGTTCAGCTGTAGTTTTACCATACACCCCCCTTAACGTGTACAACTAACGAGGATAATATAACCACAGTGGAATAATATTCTAAATAACCTAACTAAAAAAAGAAACAATACCTTAAATATGCTAGAACACAAATGCACATTCTAACAATGTTGATATGATATTCTTTGATAAAGCGATTTACAGTAGTAGATCAATGATTAAAATCTAGTCAATTCCATTATCTTTATAATTTGAACAATGAGAAAATCAAACGATTTCCCTAAAACCATTTTATACCTTTGTAAAACTTAGATAATCAGATGAGAAAATGAACTATATGAGAATGATATGATGAATGTGGCGTAATACATTTCGGGTTAAGACATTTTCATCTCAAAGAAAATTGGAATTTAAGAAGAACATAAACATAATGGAGCATATAATGTGAATAATCATAGACTGGAGAGTAAGTAAATCAGTATTGCTAGACTAGATTTAGGTTGATAACAGACTGTTGTAAAACATAAAAAAGGGGTAGAGGTCCACGTTTCGTGTAACGAAGGTTTCAATAAATCTTCATATACGTTTTCTGTTGGAAAAGGTCCTAATTTTTTACTTTATTTTTGAAATTTCGATTATTTTTATGTTTTCGCGCATAAGACGCTTAGTCAACCTTTAGCTTAAATTTCCCACACGGAAAAAACTTGACAGTCATTAGATGATGGATTATTTCAGTACGCTATTTTGTGGCTCTCCGAAGGACGTTGCTATCATTGTATAAATAGTCAGTCAGTCAGTCAGTTGCAACGTGGAACTTTGTAAGTAAGTACATCAGTTCATGTTGACATACCACATCAGCACACAGATGTAATTGTCAATTCAAATCCAATAGTAGAAGAGGTAGTAAAGGTATTGGAAGTAATCGGAGAGGTTAGGATTAGAAGATATTATTCAAGAAGTATGATTCAGTGAGAAAAGTTTAGAAAGTCAAAACTAGAGGTGTTGAAGAATCCAGAAGATTAGGATTTGATAGAACACAAAGAATAAATGTACCTGCGCCATTGCAAACGGTTTTGAGCCATGTCATTCAGGGTCTCTAACCATCGATTATTATCATCTCGCGGACCCCAACCAGGTAGTCGACAACTACCGACATGACTTAGTCGACTTGTCGATGACTTCATGGATTTCTGCCATGTTTTGTTTGGCCACCCTTAGCTTTCTTCCAGCCTTTTCCTACACTACAAAACAAAGCTCGACGAGGCAGTCGGTGGTTAGGCATACGCAGCACATGCCTGATTTGTGTACTTAGGAACCTTAGTCTTTCTCGGTGCCTGCAGAATACATTCTCTATGTCTTATCAAGACTTCTTGATGTAGTTAGCAGGGCGTGGGACAAACGGATTAGAATAGCCTATCGTGTGTCACTGCATCATTTATCTGTGTTTCGTTTACTGAGTAAGGTGAACTCGTAATAGTTTCAAGTATATCAATTGACTTTCGAACACTTTTGTATAACACTACAACGGCTAACTTGTTATCAATCTTATAACCAGTCTCAACTAAATGTTTTATAATTCAGGAAGATAGTTACATCTATCCTATAATCTTGTTTGACCGTTTTCTTTTTTTTGCTAGCCATCTAAGTATGTATTCAGCCACCTTTATTTGTAGATCATGATTGCTCTTTCATTTGTATATGTTACCTCACATATATGTAAACTGATAGATGTCATGGAATGTGAAACATTCATTTGCACGCTGTTTTGCTTTGTCTATCCGATAATGGGCTACGTACAAAATCCTATCGATCGCTAATTTACATCATTATTATAATATAAGAATATTTGAGTTATTTCTGAATGGCAGGTTGATATGAACACGTATTTCTGGATGTTAAAAGTGTATTTAATCTTATCGAAGATAAGAATTTTAGCTAATGAATTACCATATATAATCCATATATTTTGTTGTCTTATCAATGTTTTCTTATTAGTGTCATTGTGAGTCGATCTATTACGGTAATATATTATAAGTTTTTGATGAACTTCATTTTCTCATTGCATTATCCAAATTCTCATTTTTCGTTTATAAAAGAAAGAATGATTTATTTAGTATGGCTAAACTTAAATGCACTTATCATTCAACTGATAATATATATATATATGTATACCCTTCAGGGCTACTGCCGGTCCCAAGCCCGGATAAAGGAGGGTTGGGCATGGGGGTTGGCAACCCCATTCCACCAAAAAAACGCTAACCAGAAAAAATAATTCAAACCATTTTAACTCTGCCCTGGGAGTGGAGTTGGAAGAACAATTATGACATCGCGTGATGAAAGCCGAGTTCCCTCGGAAGTCACGAGGCCGATGCCTCTTCTGACAACCAGAGCAACCATTCTTTTAGGTACATGGAACGTTCGTACATTGTGGGAGAAAAGAAAAGAGGAAGGCCAAAGAATACATTACGCCGAGAAATAGAGAAAGATATGAGAAGAATGAACAAACATTGGACAGAACTAGAAAGGGAAGCCCACGACAGAGTTGGCTGGAGAAAACTGGTGGGCTGCCCATGCTCCATTAGGGGGTAACAGGCGTAAGTAAGTAAGTAAGCATGATGAAAGTGAAATTTTCAAACATTGAAACATTGAAAAAAAATTCAATTATTTCATTAAAATGATCTGTAGATATATATACATATATATGCCTTACCGATATAAAGCGTATCACTTTATTTGGTGACCAAAACAATGGATAATAAGTTATTTCTTCTGCTGTTGGTCGATCATTCGGATTGGATGAAAGCATTGTTTGGATAAGATAACGAGCTAAATAGCCTAAAATAAGATAAGAGACATAAACAAAAGAAAAAGAACACAATCGTAGACACAATTTGAAGATTACGAAGAAACAAAACTATAAATATCATCATAAACATTTAACAACAATCATATTTTCCTACTCCTTATATTTATCATTATACTTTATAAAGTGAAACCGATAGTGGCTTGATTGATTCACGGTTTCAAAAAGTAACTCAATAATCTCTACAACCCTATAATGCAAATTACCTGGCTTACTAGTGACTAGCTCTGTGAGGAATCTTTTCTGAGTTCTAGTGAGAAGTCATGATCAGTGGAGTTCAACCTTGTTTAGGTGTGAATCAGTGCTCATCGAAGACACTATGTGAAGTGGTGCAAAACCGTGAATTGATCAAAGTTAGACATTAACATCGTTAGATACCGGTTCAGTGGTTCAGACGATAGGTGTTCGCGCATAAGACCGAAGGTCCTGGGTTAGAATTCTGCGAGGTGCAGGAGTCGTGGATTCGCACTGCTGATGAGTCCCATACCAGGATGAAACTGCTTCCAGGTTTCTAATGGTAGTCTAAGATTGATCAATTTATGAAATGTGTTATGCTTGTCAATTGATATGCTTGAAACTATTACGGGTTTATCTTGGTCGAAAAACGAGAACGAGACAATGAACCAGCAACACGATAGGCTACTCTTATCCACTGAAGAAAAAGTCTTGATATGGCGTAGAAAGTGTATTCTACAAACATCCAGCAAGCACAATGCATTCAAGCACACAAATCGCGTTTACTTATACATCATAGAAACGTCCTTGAGAGAATCAAAAAAATACCGAACTAAAATAACACATCAATTAATCACAGCCCGGGATTTTCCTGGTGGGAAATGTAATCTCAAGGTCAACTGATCAGCCAATGAATAAAATCCAAAACCAAGGACTTTATCAAGTCAGTTCTGGGGATCTCACGTCCCCAACAGTCTTGTGTGGCGGAGAAGAGCATTAGAATTATAGCTTAATAACTCTATCAATTAAACAAGAAGCAATAATTCTTTTGGGTTTTTGGTATGGTAGGCACTGAATAGTTAGCAATAAAAGATTTTTTGTTAAATTCTAAGGAGTTCCTGTTTAATTCAAGCTGAGATGAATAGCATTTACTAGTTTTGTATGTCACATTCTTAAATGGTCAACGTCAACTGTTTTTTCCCAATTAGAGTTATGGAGATCAGTGTTTTTAAAACATTGAAATCATGAATCGATCGAAGTTAAACCACCATTAGAAAACTGGAAGTACTGGATGGCCGTTTCGTTCTGACATGGGACTCATCGGCAGGGCACATCCACTACTCCTGCACCTCGCAGGATCCGAGAACCCAGGAACTTCAGCCTTGCGCTCGAACGCCTAATCTGTGGACTTTTGCTAGTGAACTACAACTCAATAACGTATATTTAAATTTTTAAAAAACGCTGAAATCAGCTAAGTCAAAATCATTTTTAAAATGTCACCGAGGAACCGAAAATATGTACACTGTTCAACTTTTGTAACGTCGATTATAAAAAGACATCCGAAAAAGTTTATATCAATGGTTTTAAAACCAAGAAAGAATTGAGAACATATGATATTTGATGGTGTACATATATTTTCAGCCACTTATCATACATAAGGAATAATAAGATTGTGAAAAATTGTCCAGTTTGCGTTAAGGTAAATGGGAATGCGTATCACGTATCAATTACAGGAACGTACGTGTTTTTATTATGATTAAAGACAAAAAAGAATTCCAGCGGTCAAATATGATCATAGGTTAGATAATTATCCTCCTGCATTATGAAACATTTGGTTGAAGCCGGTTATAAGACAAATAACAAGTCCGCCGTTGTGGTGTTATAAAAGTGTTCGACAGCGTATGTTAAGATTGATTTAAATCTTCGTTATACGAAACGTGGACCTCTGCTCACTTATATGTTCAAAAAGAAACTGTTATCCTCCTAAATCTATCTAGTCTAGCAATATTGATTTACTTACTACCTAGCTTATGATTATTCACATTGTGTGTTTTATTATGTTAGTTTTCTCCTTAACTTCCAATTTGTCTGGTAAATAAGAATACTAATAACTACAATTTCGTGAATAACACCTTCGCCATGAGACAGCAGTGTCAATATATGCGTGGCCATGTGAGGACATTTCGAGAGGGAGAGCAGACTCTGTATAATCTCGGCTGTACCAGGCTATTTGAGAGATAAGGCGTAGAATCGAGGATGTGTGTTTCATCCTACTTGGGAGTGAAACTTTTAAATAAAAGTAAATATTGGAAATTTACTTAGGAAGTTCATAAGTCAACAGATAGATCAAAAATTAAGCTCTGACTGTCAAGAATTGATCGTTACATAGTATTGAAATGAATACTGGATTTAATTTCTTTATGATTAATAAACACTATAAGAATAAAAAAAGGAACAATAGATATTTTGACACTGTGATTATATAACCAAGTCTTTTTGCTTGATTTAACTCAAACAGTGTCTTTCAGTAGGTTTAACATTCAACTTTTAGGCGAATAGCTTGATTGCTACCGTAAATCGTAGTTGTGCTTAATAGAGAAGAACAGGTATGTATTAGTAGTGAACTCCATTAAGCTGTTAAGTTTAAGCAGACATGAACTAATTTTCGAAATAATGAACTGGAATAAACGTTACAGCTTAACAAAAAACAAAGTTATTGTGGAAAATTATTTTTTGATTTTATTCCTAGCCTTATAATAACATATTTGAGTGATATATATTTGTCAGTCAGTTAGTTACTGTGTAGAATTTGGCACATACATACATCAGTTCAAGTTGCAATACTACAATAGCACACAACGAGATGAAATTGCTAGACTAGATCCCAGAGTGGTAGAGGTTGTAGCAGTGTCAGTCGTAATAGAAAAGCTTAGGGATTGAAAATAAGATTCGAGATATTTATCCTGGTGAAATGAATTTTAAAAAAGGAATTCTGAAGCTGATTCCGATAGTTAGTGACTTCATGGATTTGTGCATCATTTTCGTTTGCCCGCCCCTAGCTTTCTTCCAGTCTACTCCTACATCAGGCAACCTCGCTCGCCGAGGTAGTCGGTGGTTAAGTAGATGTAACACATGTCCCAACTATCTCTGCTGATGAAGATTGAATACTTCCTCAGTTGGTTTGAGATCCTTAGCTAGTACCCTATACCGAACCTAGAAACTGCTTACTCAGTAGTCCCAAAATACACAAGCAATGTTTCCAAGGCACCTATGATCAAACACTAGTAAACTAAGAGTACTGTCTTTTCTTAATGGTCATGTTTTACACTCGTTAATTATAATGGAGCAAACTCTTGCGCAATAAACTCCTCCTTTGATCAACAGACGTAAGTTCATGAAGGTCAATACGGCCTTCTGTGTCCGTGCTGAGATTTCTTCAGAACAGCAGGTTATCAAGGCTGATGAGATTCCCAAGATAAACAGTATTAATATTCAGGCATTTCGGTCAAAAAGCATATATACCAATAGAAAATGAAAAACTATAGTCCATAACATTAAATACGATAATACATTAATCATTAAGAATAAAATTCATACGAATAACACAAATCAGTGAATATTTGAACTCAACAACAGCACAGTGGATAATCAGCTGGGCCCTTCTTTCAAACAAGATACATTACATTCAAGTTTAACTATAAATATTAACACTAGACGAAATAGGTAAATTTAACTGATGAGTTCTGCATAGGACGAATTACTAGTCTTGCACTCCAAGTGTTAACAACTATCTATCTATATTTCATAGAATTACCTACCTTTCAAAAAAAAATATATTTCATGTGACACCTGTCTTACCATAACTTCCTAATTACATTGTCTACAAGTATAATTCTTTTTTTTCACTTAATATTATTCTAACAGTAAACATATTGTTTATTTGACTAAAGGGTTCATAGAATAAAAACATAATGGACATACTGAAAAATTAAGGTAAAGTATAAGAAAAGTAGTAGTAGTAGTAGTAGTAGTAGTAGTAGTTTGACCTTTTCAGGTTAATTTGCTTGACATTGTTTAAAACCATCAAATAAACAAATAACAATTTGAAAAAAACAAAAAGAAAACTGTTTACATGTTGAAGAATTATTTATATATAACACATACAGGTGTGTTTACAGATTGAGACAAAGTAAGAAAAAAAAATTGTAAACACTTATTAAAAAGGTGTCTGGATGAATAGTGTTATTGCATTTTTTTTTAAAAAAAACACCAGCAATGGGTGTGGTTCGTAAACATGCTGATAATAATAGTAATTATTATTATTATTATTATTATTGTTAAATTCAATAAAACAAAAGTAAACTTTATTACACCTTTGAAATCATCAATCAATCATTGTTAGACCACCTGGAAGCACTGAAAGACGGCCGTTTCGTCCTGGTTTGGGACTCATCAGCAGTGCATATCGACAAATCCTGCACCTTGAACCTTGTGCGCGAACGCCCAACTCCTGGACCACTAGGCCGGCATCCAACAGTGTTAATGTTTAACCCTGATTGATCTACAGATTTAGCTCGAACTCACCCATTTATCTTTGGTAGTTACTGCCTACACCCGACAGGGTTGAACTCCTCCACTGGTCACGTCTTCTCACTAGAACTCCGAGAATTTCCTCACGAAGCTATTAGCCACTAGTGAGCATATTTTAAGATATTTTCAATTAGACTCATAGAGATTAGTGCTTTTACACATTTGAAATCATCAATCATGAGTACCATACCAGGACGAAACGGCCGTCCAGTGCTTCCAGGTTTCTAATGATGGTCTAACAATGATCGATTGATGATTTCAAATGTGTAAAAACACTAATCTCCATAACTCTAATTGAAAATGTCGTAAACCTTATTGATACAAACTAATATATTAGCCGTGAAATCATAGAAAACTAGAAGGTACTTTTTTTTGACGGGCACAACACACAAGATGTCAGAAGTGTTCAACGATCCGTTACTTCAAC